ACAGCTAACCTGTGCCGTTCCCAGTCCCTCTGGACATCCAGATGGATCCTCTGTTACCTCTGTGTCTGCTATATATTGATGATACGGTCAAAGCCATGCATACTGGCAATGATAAACTAATTGTGATATGTGCATCCTCTGGGAGACCCCCTTAGTAACTGAGGGTAATGGAAGAAGGCAGAGCAGCGAGGGCACCGTGTGGGAGAGGAGCCTGACGGACAGAGCCCTGCAACTTCCTTCATTTTCACTCTATATTCCAAATAACTCCCTTGCTCAATTTGCTACCCACACACCAAAGCATTGTCCCATTTTATCTGGTTCCCCTGATACTTCCATTGCTTATCTTATGAAGATCCGTGTTAACATTTATCAAAACAAATGGCAAGCCTGGGACCTTTTAAGTAGTTTTTTTAGTTAATAAAACCAATCTTCTACTTCTGTTATGTTAAAAGTACATTATCTTTTTATTACAAACTCTCTACAGCTCTGTCTGTTTTCCTTCTTGGCAATTTCATGACTGCTCCAGTTGATTGCTGTATGGAGAATTACAAAATCATTAAGGGTGGGGTTTTACCAGCTGACTTACAGTACAAACCATTTCTCAAAATAACCACAACAGTGCAATACTGATGTGTAATTTACGTCACAGTATGTTTTTATGAAATAGTTTGTGGCTTATTCATTTAGATTTAGAACTGAATATCTCTTCTCTCGCTTTTTAATCAAGCTTTCTTCTTTTTTTTCTTTTTTTTTTTTTTTTAAGTTTTTAATATTTTCCACTCCTAGGCTTGGCTTGCCTCCAATTTACTAGCTACAGTGAGGAGGAAGAAAAAAGATTTTCTTTTTTTCTTTTGCCTGCAGTTTAACTGCAAGTGTGTTTTCCTCTTTGATGTATACATTTGTGTTAACTGCCTCGGAAGAGATGGTAGATTTGTGGTAGAATATACTGTACAAGGGTAGAGCAGCAAATTGATAAAAGAGATGCAAAAGTTTGGAATTTCAAACCATACCAAGCGTGTGACGCTATTTAGCCTCCTTCTCTAGTACATTTCCTTTTTAAAAATGACTTTCTGTATAATGTCTTGTAATTAGAACAGGAAATCATTGAGTAACTGTAAGAAGAATAAGAGCACTTAAACTGAAAAGAAAATTACCTTCCAAGAAATTATATTCACAATTTTTTTTCCTTTAATTTTTTTTTTTTCTTCCCTTCACATTACTTTATTGGTAATGATAGTAACAGATGTACATACCCTTATCTGTATCATTGTTCTGCTTATGTTTTCTGGGGAAAGAAAATCATTTTCAGTAATACAAAAAATGAATGGACAGAAAATGGGAAATGCCTAATTACAAAAAATATTCTGTGTCACAACAGAGTAGCAATTAAATTGAAACTTCAATATAATTATCAATAACAGTCGAGCCTGGAAGGGTGCCAGGCGTGTAAAGTTGGTGCTCAGCCTTTATGTGGTTGCTAGGAGCACAGCGAAAAGTATAAAGCTTAGAGAAAGGAATGTCTAATGTAATAAAGTAACAGGAGGTAGCATAAATCATTGTGAGAGCAGTTCATATTGACGTTATTTTACTTAAATTGGGTCGAAACTAGACATTTAGTCCTACAAGAGGCACAAATTCATATTTCTTCCGCAGAAATAACTCTGTGCTTTCTGGGAAGGAGTGGAGTGTGCTTTCCTAGCACCAGCCTCGTACATATTTGGAATCTTTTAAGCAAAAATCTTTAAATGTTTGTTTCTGTTGGCATCCAAATGCATTTGCACTAATACGATTAAAAGAACTAAAGGGCAAAATACTTGGCAGCTTTTGCAGTTGAGGTAATTAGGTACAGGAAGGAACATGCATAGTTTTTCCATCAAGCTCTATAAAATCCTGGTGTGAAGGTCTTTTTAAAGAAAAAACTGCTTACTGATGTTGAGAGTAGATTATGGCAGTTAGCAATAACATTATAGGCTGATGTTTCCGAAACAAGCAAACAAAAAGCGAGTTACAGTTTTGTATTTCTCTGCTCTCTGTGTAAATAGTTCTGGCTCTAGATGGATTTGTTAGGAATTTGTGCTTTTAGTGGGCGCTTTTTTTTTTTTTTTTCTTTTGGGGCTTTTAATTGTCTTGCGTTACATATTAAAAATGGTTGTGCTGATTTGAAAAGTCAGTTCTTGCATAGATTCATTGTGTTTGGCATTTCATGCATCTCTTACTTACAAAGACAACTTGAAGAACATGTAATCCAACATAAATGCCAGGCTGTGCCAAATCCCAGCTCTCTTTAACCCTCACAAAGGGAACTGTTGGATTACATCTATACATATATAGGCAGCGCTAGGAAGGCAGGGGTGGAACCTTGCCTCCTAATTACAGTTTCTCTGTTTTCAGCCCTGAAATATATAAATAAATGAAAAATTCGCATTGAAGGGGGTTATTAAAACACACAATTACGATATAAGCATGGGATTAGAGTAATTTCAGTTGAGCCTTACAAGCGACGTACTGTAGGTATTATCTTTGCCCGTGTTCTCTCTCTTGAAGCTAAAATGAGATTCAGAAATACAGCATCTCGGTTTTTTAAGATCTCAGTTAAATGTTTTTAGAAATTATGTTGTTTTTCTCGATTTTAATGGAATATGATCCACAGTTTGATCTCTGCTCCTCCTAATAAACTCTTTCCAATCATATTTTTGAAAAATATTCAGCAATATACACTAAGCCCACTATTAAATGGCACATGTTAGATTTTGCTAGAAGAAAAAATAGTTCTTCTTTGAGCTTGCATTTTATTAGGGATTGGTCTACTTTGATTTCTTTTTTCTCATGTGGGCGTGGTTGAGAAAAAAAAAAGTCTTTGTTCCAGGAACACTCTGTTTGTCTTTCACTAAACAAATCTTCAGTTTATTCAGCCTTTGTTCATTCTTAGATTTATCTATTGAACCTGGAGTGAATAAGGAAAGGAAACAAATGCATCATAACGTACTCATTGGAGTTGCACAAGCATGGATGAAAGTGATCCTGTAAAAAATGACTTGATTTTAATTTATGCCAGGGGTTTGAGTTAAGTCGTCAGTTGTCAGGGGTAGAAAGTTTGTGTAATTCTGTGCAGGGACTTACAGCACATTTGTCTAGAAACTAATGGTTTACTACAAAGGCACAAGGGACATACATTTATATACACCCTGTTTAAAAAGCTGACCACATCCTGGCACAAGAAAAGTGCTGTCAGATCAACAGATTCAGCTCACCACTATCTACACAAAGGTATAAAGTAGTAATAACTGTCAGGCAGGCGTATATGAAACTCTCAGAGGAGCTAAAGGATGGATCATGTGCTTGTTAATTCCTAGAACAGTTTTCCTGATCTGATTTTTAGAGTTTCCTAATAAAGGAGAGAGACCCTTATTCCCAGGAGCAATTGGCTCAATCGTGCTGTTGTGTAGGCTTACGGGATACTTTCTTCTTGAAAACAAAAGCATGACCACATCCTTACTGACCTAAAGAAGTTTCAGGGCCATAAATTTTATTTTCTTAGAGAAGTAATGTCAGTGCTGTTTACCAAAATGTATTACTCTTACTTTTTTTTCACACAGATTGTTTGATCTCCCCACCTACGTCAGGGTAGTGGGGAAAGTTCTGAGTTTTTCGAAGTGATGGCTTTCAGGAGTTGTGCTTGTAAAAACAGTACTTCCCAAGTCCGTCAGCCCTGTTCATTTTTTTTGCAGCACTGCATTTGTCTGCAGTGGTGACATTCTAGGTGATATATCTGCTTCCAGAGACTTCTTAAAATTTAGCCTTTTATGTGTCAACATTTCCATTGCCTCACACGAATCAAGATCAGTTGTGCCATCGTATTTGGTTGGGGAGAACTGATTTGACATTTCTTTCAATATCTGAGGTGATTTTTACTTAAGGGTAAGAAAGATGATTTCAGTATTGTTAATGGGATTAAATGGTAGACCTTTTGTCTCTGACAGAAGAAATAGCTGAGTTATTCAGTAATCAGAGTACAACAGAAAACGTAAAGTGGATGCTCTTGCTTTGTCTTCATTGGCATGCATGGGAAGCCATGTTCATGTTACCCCACCTGAGGAGATAAATGAGCATAAAAAGTGCTGTTAAGTACTGGCTGCATACCTGCAAATGAATAATTTCTCATGTTTGCATCTCGTTGGGGTTTTTTTTTGCTGTTAGGTTTCCTGCTGGTTATCATATGATGAAGCCTGATTGTGATATTTCAAAATCTGCCACCTTTATGCCTGATATCATCTAAAACCTGGGGGAATGAAAAGGTCTGAGCTCTAGATTGCTTTATATTTTGAGCCCACATTTGGGCAGTATGAACTGTTTGAAAATTCATTTGCTCGTTGTGCTCTGCAGGTGTTTTATTGAGTCCTGCTGCATTTGCAGTTAATGTGAGGAAAGTTATTTCCACCTGTTGGGGTAGCTTAGCATCAATAACCAGGTCAGATCAGCCCACCTCCCTGGCCCAGGGGCCCTTTGGTAGTTGCCAGTATCAGATACTTCAAAGGAGAATTAATAGCTGTATGCTCTGGGGTTTGTATATTATTATTTTTAAAAGACATTAGCTGGTGTAAACATGACTTCAGTAAGGCTGTATAGGGAGCTGAGTAAAAATGACAGATAATATTTCTATGAAAGCAGCCAAGCTGGCAAAGTATGGAGAGCACTGATTCAGGCCGTTGGCCAACTTTTGCAAAGCAGTGTTTTCTTACTCATCCAGGTAGAGCCCTTGTGGGTAAGCATGGGAGAAATGAACAGAAAGCCAGAAAAGAAGCTGTTTCAATAAACTTTTTTTTTTTTTTAATTTCTATTTTTAACCTTTCTTTTGTAAACTACTGTGCTATGAAAGATAGGTCTGGAGAAAAGACTGAATCAGTGGGCCATGGATTTTCTGAGATGCTTGAGTTACAGCTCTTGTTTTGAATTTTTCTGACATACTAAGACGTGGGGTTATTTTTCTTTTCTTCTTCCAGGTGAGGATGATGAAGATTCAAACCTGCTAATTCTGAGCTACCCGCAGTACTGTCGATATCGTTCCATGTTAAAGCGCATTCAGGACAAGCCTTCTTCAATACTAACAGACCAGTTTGTTTTAGCCCTGGGAGGCATTGCAGTAACAAGCAAGAACCCCCAAATCTTCTACTGTCGGGATACATTTGATCACCCTACTCTAATAGAAAATGAAAGCATATGTGATGAGTTTGGTAAGTAACGTTACAGCTATTTGCTTTTTCTCCCGAGTAAAGACATTTTTCTTCTTTTCAAGTGTCCACTGATTTCCAAGGGGAAGATGTGACTCCTTTGAAGTGAACCAATGCTGTTTATGTTTGAAATGTTAAGTACCAAATGTGCTCTTTCTTCTGTGAGACTGAAGGCTTCTAGTCACTAGTGATCTCGGTATTGCAGCTTGAGTTTATCACAATCAAAGATAATGTTACACGGGTAGAGTGTGTAGCACAATTACTTGGTATGAGTGAAAGGTTCCCTTGTCTGAGTTTGAAATTTATCTACCTTAACCATTCCCCTATAGCCTATGTCTTTCCAGAAGCTTTACAAAGGGCGTTGGGTTTTTTTGAAGTCCTTGTTGGTGCAATATGCTAACAAATGCAAAATAGAAGAGACTCCCTGCGTGCCCTGTTGCTGTTGCAGAGCACTCATCAGCTGCGCCTGTGCTCCCAGGGCCCTGAACAAATCTCAGCTGAGGCTGGTGTGTTTCTGGCCTTCCTGGAATGGGGGCTTTGCCAGTGCTAGGAGCTTGATTTTTACAAGCACTTCTGGGAGGTGACCTCTTAATTCAGAGGGTGTAGAGAATACTCTGCGGCTCCAGAGGAGTATGGAGCCCCATATAGCTGGGAGAGAGGGCTGCATGATTCAACCTCTGATAGCTGCCAGGTGATTTCACACCTTTTTTGTGTGTGTGTGTGTCAGATCAACTCAAGGACAGCGGATGTGCTGCTGAATGTGTGGCAGAATGCATGTTGTGTACACACCCAGCGTAACTGTAGTAATGGGTCTAGTGTAATTTCTTTAGCAGTTTACCTGTGCTGTGAGAATTAAGTTTTATTGCCCATATCACCAGATGGATGAGTGCTGCAGCTAATGCTAGCAAAGTCTGTTTGCATAGCAGTGGGTACACCTTTGTTGTGCGAGACCCCTACATCTCTGCAAGGAAGCTCTTGTGTTCTCTTAGGGAATTTCTGATTACGCATTTAACATATAATAATGGGGGTGAGAGGGAAAGGGTTCAACGATGCCTGTGATGGGAAAATCATCTCAGCCTTTTAGGAAAAAGCACGCTGGCTTTGAGCTTGGCATCTGGTCCAGGCCTTGTTTCTCTGCCAACACAACACCAACCCAACTGGTGGCATTGGGGCAGTTTGTAAGGTAGTGCAGGACTGCTCCTCTGCTGCTGCACCAGTCAGTTCCCAACAGGAAGGAGAGATCCTTCCTCCCCTCGTGTTGTCACTGGAGCACGTTGCTGCTGTGAATAGTTTTTAATGTTGTGATGTTAAGCTTTGGCAGGATCAGGCCCAAACTGTCAAGTCTGCTCACACTCACACAAAACATTACAGGCTTGGAATGAACTATGAATAAAAGTGTTGATTGCTCTTAGGGGGTGGGGATGGTGAAAAAAATGAATGAAATGCCCTGGAAGTTTGGTCCACTAACACAATAGTATCATGTTGATTTTTATTTACTCTGAGCTCCAGCTCGGAATATAAAGTTCAGTTTTAATTGACTATTCTTTTTATATGGGAAAGGTTATTTTAGGCTTGAAGGCGTTTGATGAGCGTACCATCTGCTTTCTGTGGAGTATTTTATTCAGGGTCATCCCTTGATTACAGGTTTGTTGAAATAGTTGGATCCATAATGTAAGTGTATCATGGAATATTAGTAATAGATGAATCAAAGAGATGTGGAGTGATGCAGAAACTACGCTTAGTGAACCAGAGCAAGTGCTTTGTTCAGTCTCTCAAAGCTAACTATGCCATTCTCTTGACCTTTGCAAGGCAATTATCTCATTATCAAACCAGAGCCACAGAAATCTTAGCCATAGAAATTAATAATGTGTACTTAAAATTTAGTTTGATTTAAGAAGCAGATTTTTTTAAATGCCTATAAAACAAAAAAAAAATACTACTCTTTAAAAGTATTTCATATGAAAATAATGATGTGGTAAAATTTGCAAGCCCTGCTGTGTTAGGAAGAAAAAACCTGGCCAATGTATGGCTCCGTTTCTGTATTGCAAAATGTATGGTGTCAATTATACTACCTTTGTCGAAGGCAACAGGGAAAGTGCTATTTTGTCCTTTTCTTTGCTGGCAGGACAATAAAATGTACAACACTTCATTATACAAACAGTTTACATTGATATCATGTAGATTGATGTCACACATGGAAAGTGATGACTGCTAAAGCTAAACAGAGGCAGGGTGGTACAGCAGATAAATGGATTACTCTAAGGCGCTGTTATTTATCAGTCAAATCTGAGGGGAGACCAGATTACAGAAATGCAACTAAAATTCTTAAAAGTTGTCTTATTAGGAGACCCAGGCACATTTAATTTGAAGGGCTTGGCTATTTCTCATCTTGCACATGAAAGAAGTGTGCAGAAGGAACAAGACGGGAACGTGTGTATTTCCCTGTCACCTGAAATTCTCCAAACTCTAAGGTGAGCACAAAATTTGGGAAATACAGTACTAATGTCTTTATGGGGAAAGCACTGGCTTCTGATATGGATGCCAGGTCTCCAGAAACGTTACTGTTGGGGAAGGTGTTACACGTTCTCTGCACATTGGGAGTACTGTGCAACAGATACAGCATGTCACAAGTGAGACACCAGAAACACCTTTACAAAGAGCCCCATTCATGACAGCGTGTAAGCTGTTGTCCTTATTAGGTAGTTTTAATAGAGAGAAATGTTTTTCTGGGAAGTATTCTCTCTACTTTTATTATACGCTTACAACAATTTTGTTCAACTCTGACTCCTTCTCATACTCCCTGCTTTTTTTTTGCCCGGTCTGTAGGATTTAACAAAAATAAAGCAGGAAATTAGGAAGAAAAAATAAGTTTTGTTGACAATAAATAATGTGGGTTTTTGGTGTGGTGGGGTTTTTTTGGGTTGTTTTTTTTTTTAAGTAGGAGAGGTATGTAGATGCTGTCTCTGAGTTCCTGCAGACGTGGCTGGAAGAGATGCTTTGATGCTTGGAGCAGTCCTGTGTGGATGGCCTCTGTATTTCCATAGCGTTTCTGTAACAGGCGGTGGTAGGCTTCCTCTCCGGCTCCAGCGTGGGCTACCACAGCCAGTACCTGCTACTGACACTGTGGCTACCTGTGTCTGCCTTTGTCTTGCCTGTGCACTGCCGTATGGCATGTGCCCAAGTGGTTTGGACAGGAATATTCAGGTCTGATTTTCTTGCAGTTCTTTTCTGATTCTCCTCTAACTTGGTTCAATGTGCTGCAACGTCCCATCGAAGAGGCCAGTGGAGGAGCGGGCTGCTGAGGAATCGGCTCAGCAGCTGGAAAGCTCAAACATTTGCATCTATTTCTTTTCAGCCTGCCAGGGAAGGACTTTCTGTCCATTTACAGAGGAAAGACTTCTCTGAGTAGGAAGGCTCCTGCTCCCATTCTTGTTGATGTAACTACTGATTAGTTAAACTGCCTTGGAGGATTCTCCCCCAGAATGCAAATAGTCTCAAAAGCTTGCTTCTGTTCAGAAGGCAGAAGATGTCAGCTGACCTTGGATGTCTTGCCAGCCAAAGTTCATGGATATGACCACAGCGAGACTGCGTATCTCTTCCCCTCCTGAAGTAGGAGCAGTTAGAGGTCCTCAGCAGCATGAAACAGTCCGGGTGGATGATGAAATGCTGGTGTTGCCTGCTAGCAACAAGAAATCAGAGAATTTGAACCTGCACAGGAGGCTGGAGTGGAGTTGTCCACAGTCAAAGGCTTGAGCCCTGCCTGGCGGTGCTGCCGGTCCATGCAGGCTTGCAGGTGCCACTGAGCAAGGGCTGTGGGGAAACCGCAGGGTGGCAGCGGGGTCCCTGCTGCAGCCCTGTGGGCTGTGTCTGCCTGCCCAAGGGAGGGACGCGTTGGACTTAGCAGAGTGAGCAAACAGGATCTGTCCTCCTAATGGTCTCGACTTAGGTCTCTGCAGACTAGAGTTCATCTGTGCATTCCTTTATCTAACTATTCCTATTAATTGGCATGTGGAAAAAAACAGAACCCTACTTCCTCATTCCCCTGCTCCCTTGAAATAAAAATAATATGTGCCAGCTGAACAATTCATTTCTCTTCAACTCAGGATCATTGGTAAAGACATTTTTCAAAATCTTTAAGGATCCTAATAGTTTTCATTACAGACTGAAGAGATCTAGCTGGAGGCAAAGCTGCCTGTGCAGCGTCCAGAGGGTGTATCTGAGGGTCACTGGCCTGAAATCGGCGTGCAGTTGTTGCTCGAGCTGCACGTATCCTCTGCGCTTGCTTGTCTGAAGAAGGTGACTTGGCCTCCTACCAGACCTGTGGCTGCTCCACTGCATGGAGTGACTTCCAGGGTACATTGATGAGCATGGATCCTTTTGCAACCCACCTCTGGGCTGCGTTGCCAAACACACGTGGGCTCCTGCAGCAAGGGAGCACAAGAGGTGTCTGTCAGCGTGTCCCCCACCCTCTGCAGGCTCCGGCACTGGCAAAGTGGCAGGAGCAGGCATGCAGCTTAGAAGCAGGAGGCTCAGGTGCTTGGGCGATGGTGGATTTCTCCAGCTCCATCAGCTTCTCCACAGAAGGATTTGTCGTGATGCTTTGCTAGATAATTATTAAGAATACTGCCTACCAAAGATGAACCAGAAGACTCTCATTTTGTGAGCATGGGGTTGCTTTTTCTATAAACAGGAGTGTGAGGGAAAACCGAGTACCTTATTTCTTCTTGATTTTTAAAATCTATCTGGTAAATTTTAAATCATTCTGGATTATTTTTACAGCATACTGGGACCAATATGCCATTAAATAAGCTGTTTGGTCCCTGGGGTACTGTAAACACTTGTTCACCCCCAAAAGAAGGTTAAAAGTTTTATTTTTGTGTGTAAAGGCCAATTTTTTGTGAAACATTTCCTACCAGAAGGTGAGAGAACTACATCCTGAGGTGGTATTAATATTTTTTTTCTCTGAAAAATAAAACTTCTTCATTTTACCATAACGTAAGCAA